CTCGGAAAGAAACCTACGTCGCGTCGCCGGGCGACAACTAAAATTCAGTTAATATTTTATTATAATCGATCCTGACGAATAAATGAATTTCATAAATGAATGGTTTTTGCTGCCGAATTACTAGAATACAATATTTCAAGGCAGATGACGGATCTATTCGATAATTTTTATTCGAATAGTTTTCAACGAATGTTTTCTTACTAACTATCGAATTATTCGAATGAATTGCAACTATCGAATGTTTCGATAGTATTCATTCGATAGTTCCCACTACTAGTAAGGATCGCACGATTTCGCAAACACCAAAAAAACATTTGATTCAAAGCTAAGAAAATCATTACACTATGTTGCGGGCTGACACAATTTTTAATGAAATGACACCGAGTATGACACTAATTTTTAATGAAATATAACCAAAAGTGAGTGGCGGAAGCCCCCACGCCCCTTCAATTATAAACCGACAACAACCCAATTTAAATCCGAACATTTGGCGGTCGGGCGCCCAAAACGGCTCCGTATCGGCCCCTTAATTGCTGCGCGGTATTTTGGGTCCCGCCGCACTTTGAGGTTATGCGTCCCCCGGGCTCCATTGACGCTATTACGTCGAGCTGGCGCGCCCTCTACCCTCGCAACAAAACGATACAGATACACACACCCCTACTAATTTCCGGGGAGGCTGCGATTTATATCCTATACTTGACAAGAATTAGCTGGTCTCTGAAAATCCAGAGATGTGATTTATTTCAGATATAAGTATTTGAAATACAGATATAAGATAGAAAATACATATTTGTATCTTGTATCTTGTATTTAAATGCATTTTTTTAACATTTAAGTATTTCATAAATACTTTTTTGTGAAAGCGTTTCGAAATTGGCAGGTTTTGATATTTGTCATATACAAACTAAAATATATAGGAAACTGAAATGATACCGTCTGTTGGAGAATTCAGTGGCGCCATGCATCGGGTCGTTACACAACTTATGATACAATTTTATTTTATTTTACAGGAAACTTTACATTTTAACTACAGGTAACTTTAATTGCTTTGTCCACTCTAGCGCCATCTATTATCAATTTTTTGAAACGTAATTTATTTTTTTGTACAGAAATAGCTGATTTTTCTTCTATTTCCTATTTTTTAATAAGAATAAGTTACTCTAAATGCGACATCGCTCCATTATATCGTATTGTTCTGAAACAGATGACATTACATAGACTTAGAATTATAACTTATCCTCATCAAAAAATATGAAATAGATAGAAAAAACAGCTATAGTTAATAAAATAAAAATAATTAAAACTGGATATGTTTAATAATAATTATTAGTAATAACTTTATTAAAAAAAGTAAATAATACAAATTATACAATAAATAAAATTTCTTTTTCAGACGAAGGCTCGCACGGCACTGCTATTCTTAACTTGTTCATATAAATACAATAATAATAATAAATCAATACAATGGCATTAACTAACAAAGCACAACTAACAAAGTTTTGTCGCGAACTTATTCGAAGCGCGGCGAGAAAACGTGAATTGGATCGGGGATGGTATCTATGTATAAAAATGCAGACCCACGGATTAAAGCGAAGTAATGCGAAGAATCAAAATACATGCAATTAATCCAATGACATTTTGGCCGCTCCGGCGCTTCGCAAAAGTTTAAAGCATGATGCGCACTTGTGCGAAGCGCGCCAAAGCCGAAGCCATATGCGAAGCACTGTTTTTCGCACGCGATGGATAATTAAAGTTGTTTTAAGCTGACCTTTTTAATTTTTGTATTATGCGTACAGAAATATTATCTATGTGACGATTTGATAAAACATTGGATTCATAACATTAATAAAAAATGCCTTTTATTCTGCATTTTTCCTCAATTTCTACCCAGGTATTGTCTCGTCTCAATTCATTATGATAATTTGGATTCTCAACATAACTCTTTGTAGCTCTGTATAATCATAATGAATGTTTCATCATCCTTGATCTCAGTAATTAAACTGAATTCACAGGTTGTACGATTCCTTTGCTATGCTTGAGATCTGAAACAAATAAATTTGTATAATTATGTGACACATCAAAAAAACCTCGAGTATGGTTTATAGGATGAAAAAATTAAAAGTGGATGCCGTTGAAGGCTCTAAAATCTCAACAGAAATTGGCTATGAACTTTTTATCTTAGTCTTTGAGTTAACACAGGCATTATTTTTTATAAGAAATAATTATGGTGTTTATATGCCTTTTAAAATAAGCAGGATTCAAAAACAATTGCTGATAAAGCAAATTTACATTTTTGAGTAGTATCCTCCACTTATTGTAATTTTTAATTCTTACCTAACTTGGGTGTAAACAACTGCCTGGGTAAATTCTTAAAAGAGGTCTTACAAGAGACAGATCTTACCTCACTCACAAAACTGCAACATCTGCACTCTGGAAGATTCCTGATTTGGGTTATCTGATCCTTTCTCTAAAATGATAGATACAATTTAAAAAATCTAAAACGATAATTTTAATAAACCAAATTGAGTTTGGATTAGTAATACATATTAATATTTTAATAAACTTTGGAATATGTAATAATTGAATCACTCTCTGCCAAATTAAAGTAGCCAGTGCCATAACTTCTTTATTTACAGCTCAATTAAAATATTTTTTGTTATAAAGTTGATATGATATTTTTTAAAATAATAATGTTCATCTTCATTACTGAATATTTTGCGACTTTAATTTGGCCCACGGTGTAGGTACCTACCCTTTTCAGTTACTGTTTTTCTCAGGTAACAGTACATGTCTAATACCAACGAGAGAGTGGTCTACCAACAAGTTCTACAACAAATGTTTGTCTGTAAATACAGGGTTTGTACCTGGATTGACATCACTGGATACCAAATTACCAGTAGGTTGATCATCTAAAAGATTATTTTAATTTTATTAGAACAAAATATCTGAAAACGTTCTTTATTTAACTAAATGCATATATATTTACTTTTAAGGTTTCGCACTTGATATCACTTTTGAAATAATGTAGGATCGTTCTTCGAGAATGTATGTCTTTTGGAAAACAACTCCATGAATGCCGGCATCGGAACAACATACTTATGAAAGGGTTTACGGCCTGATTCCATCAATGTTTTTAATAAAAAGTTTAAACAATCACTAAAATTTCAGTAAAACTTTTTTCGATTTTTGACGGTGCATATTATTTGATTAAAACTGACTTGATTTGATTTGAAAAACGCTAAAAGTCATAATATTTTTTCCTCAAGCGCGACCGGTGGTTCGTCACAGAACTAATAAATTTGTGTATAACTGGTTGCGGTGAAAAAGTTCTTTCAAAGATCTCAATTTCAGTTTCCCATATATTTTAGTTTGTATATGATATTTATTTGAGACTCGAAATGACATTCTTTTAGGCACTAGTCTAAAAGTGACACTTGTTTAGGCACTAGTACCTAAAAGTAAAAAATGAAATGTTAGAAACAAAAGTGAATACAAGAGGCATCCAACTTTTCGTCTCTAAGAGATATGCAAGTTGCAGGAGTCGGAATAAGTAAATATCTTCTACTGGCAATGCTGGTAGCTTCTGCTTCTACGTGAACTGCTTTTAATTTCTTATTTGGCGTATCTTTCTGTCCCATGATTTTTTTTGCTATTTCGGTTTTCTGTCCAATTGAATTTTCAATGTAATCTTCAGCAACCGAGCTTGATTGCCAACCTCCTTGTCGCTTTAAAACTGTTATGTCCGCTCCTGAATCTACCAGCATTGTTGCAGAACTGCGCCGGAAACAATGACCAGTGTATTCAATGGCGTTGGAGAGTCCAAGAAATTCCGCTATCCTTTTTGGCATACCTCCAATTGTATTGATTCCAACTGGCAGGGTATACAGCATTGATTTTTTCGATACGTCAAGAAAAATCGCCGATGTTTCACATTGAATGGTCGAAGTTTTGCGTACTTTCGAAATACATGTAAGAAATTGATACCATCTATTGGTCCCTCAGTAATCGTAAACACTTTTGGAAAATGAGTTTTTGTATTCGGAATCGTCACACTAATAAATGACTGACAATCTTTAATGGCATCTACGGTCAAAAACGTGATTTCTTGCCTCCTACATGCTCCAAATACTCCAAATACTCCAACGATTAAGACAACTTTAGCTAACGGGAATTCTTTGTCATCGGCTTTTTTCATAAAGCGTTCTATTTTCTATATCCAGTTTTGTAAATACTTTTGATTTCTTTGCCTGATATCCGAAAGCTTTTCTTTTTAAAAATGCAATTAGGTTTGTGAATTTGCTAATATCTACGTTTCTGTTCAGGTAAATCATGGTACGGAGCATCGAATATTTACTCCACGCAAATCTATATTGCATAGTAGACATAAACGCACCGTGTTAATTTATTAACTTGCAACAATGAAAGTAGAACTGGTAGGTCCTTTTAAATCAATTATTCTTTAGAGATTCGATATGAAACAGTTCTGCTGTTGGAAAAAAATTTTGTATGGTACTCGCGCGTTATAACATATAAGTCACTTAAGAAAATTAGCCCAACATTAGGCTAAACATTTCCCAGCGTGACTTATAGATAACACACTAGTACCATAAATAACTATTATTAATTTGAAGGTAGATTTTTGCAAAAAATATCTTTTAAATGACCACTCCAAATAAAATGAAATTCTAGACGAAAGTACAACTTTAAGGCCTCTTTAAAAAAGTCTAATACAACATATTTTGATCCCTTCAGCATTTACATGCGATGTACCACCCAGTATAATCGCATCAATAACCATTTATATTATAATACTGGTGTAATTTCAACTTGGCCATTTTACACTTGTTGAACGTTAGTCGCTTCATAATTTATTGAATCTAGCTGAACAAACACAGGATGTTTCTTAATTTCCTTCCTCGCCATCTTTCTCTCGCCTTTCGAGTACAACCCTGGTGAGCCTCGGATGTTTGTTTTCCTTGTGCTTACAGGACTCGTTCACAATGCACACGTTGTCAGGTGCCTGGGAGGGTCGACTCGAGTTATCGCACGACGACAAACATTTGCCGACGGGTTTCATCTCGCCGCTCGCTAATCCTGTCTAATCGTCCGCTATCGGTCGCTTATCACACGAAATGGATGAAGGAACAAACTTTGCCTTTTTCAAGACATCGGAGCTCATGTAAAACGGTGACGCGTGAAAAACTTGTATTAATTTATTATTATAATAATAATAGCTCCCGTATATAGCGTTTGACGTCTTGGGAGTAGCAAGGTACAGCTTGCCATACTAGAGCCGTTCGGTATACAAGGAAGGTAATGTGGCTAGCACTACGCTTCAACCGCCTATTATTACATCAGGATTGTGAATCCCAAGTACTCGTTTAAGGCTGAGTCGACCTAGGTACCCAAACTATTTTTATTTTAATAAAAATGGTCGGCTGATGAAATGCCGGGTATGGGATTCGAACCCACTACCTTGAGATTGGTAGACGAGAGCCTGTACCTCTACGCCACCGGGCACCATTTTTTAAGTAGATTAATTTATTGATACTTCTTCAAAAATATATACACCGTATTTTGCCACTAGAAGAAAAATTACAAAATAAAATATATATCTTCTGTCAACAGAGTTTCCATTAGTGATGGACATTACGATCCTTTTTAGTGAAACGAATCACACGATTCAATTTCTCATATTGAATCGCCTCCTACGATTCGTTCATTTGAACGAACTACATGCACAATTATTTACGTTTCATAAAAACCAGATCGTAACTGGCACTACCGGCGATAATTTGGTAGAACAATTATTTAAGGGACCAGAAAAAGAAATACACAGCTTTTTCATTTCTTTTTCAACGCTTAATGACACTGGCGTAATTGGATTGATTATATTAAATTATCCATCCAATTTATACATCTATACTATTTATTAAAGACTTCTTAATACCAATTTAATATTTTTAAAGCCATATTTTAATTCCGATTTAATACCGCTTGATTGAAGAAACAAATGGTGTACAGTTGGTTAATTAATTCTATTTTTGGACATATTGGTTTACTACACGACTAACTAATATAAAATTAAAAAACTAAGTGCTACTAGGCTGTTATAATTTTATTTCATAATGAGTGAAAATTAACAAAAACAAATTTCATTTTAAACAGAAAATATTGAAAACAATTTTAATTATTTCTCACAACTAATAGACAGCATTGCCTTCTCGAGCCTCAATGCAAGCTGTGAGACGACGTGGCATGCTCTCAATTAAGTTGTCCAGAAGATGTTAAGGAATGACTTCTCAGTGTTTCGCGCCCAGCAATTTTCAATTCATTTAAGGTTTCAATTCATTTAAGGATCATTCCTTTTGGCAATATGGCGTTTTAGCATGTCCCAAGCATGCTCGATCACATACATATCTGGAGACATCGGTGGTCACCACAGTTTTCTTATACCCTCTTCCTTACAAAGTTCGCGAACCGCTAAAGGGCGATGGGGAGTCATTATCGTCCATGTAAACAAATTCATCTCCCGCTGCCCCGCGAAATGGACGCACAATAGGCTCTAAAACGTCTCTAAGATATGAGTTCGAGCTCCGTGTATTATACTTGCCCATACCATAATGCTTCCTCCTTGAAACGGGACACGGCGTTGAGCTGCGTTCAAGCGTGCTCGTCTTCCAGATGCTCTCCAGACCAAAGTTCGTCGCGAGTCTGACACTAGGCCAATTCTTGTTTCATCACTAAACATGACGAAATTTCAATTAGGTCCATTTGCTCTCATCTCCTCAGCCCATTGTAGTCGCGTAATTTTGTGCTGTAAATTAAGCTTGGAACACGTAGAGGCCTCCTTAAATGTAATCCTCTGTCATGGAGTCTTCTTGCTATGGTCTTTATTGAAACATTTACTCCTTCAAGGCGAGCGAACTCATTTTTAATAGCAGTATTAGAAAGCAGGGGATTGCGTCGTGCAATAAATAGGGATATTTGATGGTCTTGCACAGCAGTAGTAATTCTCTTTCTACCTCTTCCAGGCCGGTCTGTAACCTCGTTTGTTCCCTGAATTTTTTTAATATTCGCGAAACATCGCTTTGGTTAAGTCCTAAAATTTCAGCTATTGCAACTTGCCGGTAGCCCTGTTGAGACAGTGTAACTATTCTGGCTCTATTAAACTGTGAAATAATGTTTCTAGGCATTTTAAGGCCAAAACAATGGTCAAATTTCTTTGAGAGACCACAAATCGAAACGTGCAAGAATTTGTAATAATATTGGGTCTGAACGATAAACATTGTTTAACATATCCATTTTAACAAAAAAAAAATGTTTATTACAGATTATCAGAGCGAGAATAAAAAAAGATTCCTTTAAATTTCTTTCCGTACATTTTTAAACGATATATGCTATCATTTTGGTCACGTGTGTATGTATGTATTAATTTTTTGCTTCTTTTGTTACAGGTAAAACGCGAACAAAGGATAAGTACCGCGTGGTCTACACAGATCATCAAAGACTAGAGCTGGAAAAGGAGTTCACCTTCGTAAACAAATACATCACAATCCGTCGCAAGTCAGAATTGGCAGCAACTCTGGGTCTATCTGAGCGACAGGTTAAAATATGGTTCCAGAACCGCCGAGCAAAAGAGCGCAAACAAACTAAGAAACGAATCGAAGAAAAAACCCATCTGGATATCTACAATAATCTCGCGCCCACACTACAACCTCAAGATCCTATCGATCATAATTCGGTTATATCAAATATACCTCAATCAAGTCACATGATGCAGAGGTTTCTCCACGAAGAGGAAATGAAATCTGAGTCCAATTAAAAGAAACGTTTTTTTATTGGAGGCTTACCCAATTATTACTTATATAATATTCTTCATTAATTTACCTAGTAACAACAAAATCGTTGTTACAACTTTTTATTGATTTTTATCCAAATGGAAATATATCGTTTATTAAAACTATTTTTTTTGTTAAAAACCATTGAATACAAGGGTTGTTTTTTATATTTTGCATATGGGCATAGAACAAAACGGTAAATAACTTTTAAACACTATTATTTTTCGAAGTATTCTCCACAATCAAAGTTTCATTTCAAATCCTAAAATGGCGTAATATTACATCAAGATTGATACTCGCAACAATCACACCTCCAATGACATATGAGTCAAAAGTGATAATTTGGCTCATTGTTTATTGAATTTTCAAAATAACTAATTAGGTATTAATAAAAGCGCTTTTTGTTTTTGTTTAAAATGTCAAAATTATTCTTAAATTTTCTCAACGTTTAGAATAGAAAATGATTGTACAAAGAAACTTCATAATATTTCAACTTTACGAATATCACTAATATAATTATACAGGGTGGTCTGAACTATATTCCTGAAACTTTGATAGCATCTACTGTAGATAAAATAAGTAAAAACTTCGGATAAATGTATGTCCTAAAATGCTTAGTTTCGAAGATACAGGGTATAGAAGTTTCATATTTATTTCGATTTTTTCCAAATAATTTCTAGAGTAAATTCAATATTTGGGCGAAGTAACGTCAATATTTAGGCGCCCCCTACAAATAGGTGTCATATTGACATCAAAATTAAAATTCTCACTTATAATATCACAAGAGCTTAAATTATTTTCGGAAATTTTTTTGAGGGCACGAATATTTTGAAAATTATCCCGAGTCGAAGACGAGGGATAATTTTCCTAAAATATTCGGGCCCGAAAGAAAATTTCCAGGAATAATTTAAGCTTGCGTGGTATTCGGTAAGAAAATTTCACACCTAAATTTGAAAAAAAAAATATTAATCCAACATGACATTTTAAAATAATTTCAATTTGTTAATAATATTAACAAATGTTATTATATTTTTAATTAGTTACATCAAATGCTAAAACTCAAATGGGTAATATTTCAATATATAGACATTGTAGTTCATTCACATTATGATTGTAGATCTTATGTTTACCTTTTCAACTGTCAAAAAATTTCCACTAAAGTTTCGTGGCGCCTCGAAAAAATTTCCGGAAATTTTTTCAGTTGCCATGGTAACTAGTCAACATTAAAGCATGTTATTGGTTGAAAAGTAGAGGTGTGAAATTTTCATATCAAAAAACTCCCAGACACCAATTTTCAACCAAATATTGACGTTACTTCAGAAATTATTTGGAAAAAATCGAAATAAATATGAAACTTCTCTACCCTGTATCTCCGAAACGAAGCATTTTAGGACATACATTTATACGAAGTTTTTTACTTATTTTTATCTGCAGAATATGGTACCGAAGTTTCCGGAATACAGTTCGGACCACCCTGTATAGGACCATTTTTTATTCAGAAATTGAAGTAAAATTATAGTAGTATAGTAATTTCGACATTGTAAACAAAAATTTAAATTGCTTTTGTTTAATATCAAATTATTATTTTAGGTAATTTAAAAAAAACGTCATAAGAATCGCTGTTGTTTAATATCTGTTTTTATTTTCATGAACAACCTCAAAAATATGTGAGAGAGCTACACTATAATTGGAAATGGTTGAATAAGCTGAAAATGATGATAATGATATTTGCAAAAAATATATAGGGTGGTGCTATTTAATATTCTTTGATTTGGCTTACTTCGGGTTAAACAGAAACATAATGATATTCTGATATTAAATTGTCTTTTAATGAGAAATAAGCTATAACAGGAAATACAAAGGGTGAGTCTTAAAAAATATAAAAATGCAAATATTTCTATGTTGGTAAACATATTTTCTCCTTACCGTTTTTAAAGTTATTGCAAAATAACCAAATTATTTTACTTTAAAAAATATTTTGTATTTAAATTTTGAAAATCACTGGATTTTTTCTGCAAAATATTTGCACTTATTTAAGACTCACTCTGTATATTGTCCAACGATTTAGTTGTCACTTGGTATATATGAAGTTTCTTATTCACTTCTGATTGTTCTTTAATGTGAAATAATTGTCACCGTCCAAAAGTGAGTGTGCAATACAGAGAAAAATATGTTTAAAAATCGTGCAATCTATTTTAAAAATGTTCTTTAGTTTTAAGATGGCTATTATATTTAACTTTTTTATTGTGAAAAAAGTGTTTTGTATATACATATATATTTTTACGGGCATTGGATACGACATCGCTCCTCAATTTATTCTCCGAAACTTACAAAAAGAAACGGTAGGGCGTACAAACCTTTTGTATTTGTTTACAAAAGTGGATTTTATGTTATTTAAGGTGCAATTGAGATTATGAACCAAACTGCGAACAGATTGCGCAAATGTAGCATAACGAATCATTGTTCATGGGTCATTTGTATATATATAAATTTAAGATGAAAATGTTATAAATTGTTGATTGAACTAGTGAGGGAATGTAAAATTTTGTTTTAAGGTTTCGTTTTATTTTATAATAGTAAAATTAGTTGTATTAAATTATTCTTCTGTAATTGATAAGCGCACTATTGCGACACATGGTTTAGAAATTTTGAAATAAATGTTTTTTTTCTATATAAAATGTCTGTTTTTACTCAAATAACGCCTAGTTACTTTTGTCAAGGTTTACAGAATCAATATAAAATATATTCTGTAAACTTTGTTTGTTTGGAGTATATCTAAGTAACACAGTTTATTATGCTAGGCAAGCAATATACATATTAGAGTCAGCCGATTTTTAGTTGTATAAGTGAAAACAATATATTCTTAAACACCCTCTACACTATACCCGAAATGTTTTACGAAATATTTTTGGAAATATTTCGTGAAACATTTTGCGAAGATTTTTCGAGATACTTTCAAAACTAAACCCAATTCTTGAGTTCCCAGTTCCAAAGACCTAGCTCTAAGAACTGCTAATGCTTAGCAGGAATAAAGTGCGGATTATAACAGGCCTCTTGACAGGACATATGGCTGTCAACTGTTATTTGAACAAGCTCAACCTTTATCAAGAAAGTCTTTGCTTCAGACTCTGCGATAAAGATCCTGAAACAGCGGAGCACATATTATGTCATTGCGAGGCTCTGGATCGCAAGCGACACTTTTTATTTGGGATCATTTTTATCTGGAGGAACTATGCTCCCATCCTATCAAGGATCTGCATAAGCTAGTGCAGGGCCCAGGGATAGGAGAATGGGTGCAGTTATAGAAAGGGGACAAACACAATAGGCCTCACAGGTCGCAGTGTTTCCGCCAAAGGACGGCCCCTTGTTATGGAAAAAAGTCCAATTCTTAACAATATATTGTTAAACACCCTCTACACTATACCCGAAATGTTTCACGAAATATTTCCAGAAATATTTCGTGAAACATTTTGCGAAGGATTTTTTAAAATATTTTCAAAAGGAAATCCAATACTTAACAATATATTCTTAAACACTCTCTACACTATACCCGAAATGTTTCATGAAATATTCCTGGAAATATTTCGTGAAACATTTCGCGAAGCCATTCCTCGAAATACTTTTAAAAGTAAACCCAATGCCTTAACAATATATTCTTGAACACCCTCTACACTATACCCGAAATGTTTCACCAAATATTTCTAGAAATATTTCGTGAAACATTTCGCGAAGTTTTCTCGAAATACTTTCAAAAGTAAACCCAATGCTTAACAATATATTGTTAAATACCCTCTACACTATACTCGAAATGTTTTACAAAATATTTCTGGAAATATTGCGTGAAACATTTTTCAAAATACTTTCAAAAGGAAATCCAATACTTAACAATATATTCTTAAACACCCTCTACACTATACCCGAAATGTTTCACGAAATATTTCTGGAAATATTTCGTGAAACATTTCGCGAAGCCATTCCTCGAATTACTTTTAAAAGTAAACCCAGTGTCTTAACAATATATTCTTGAATACACTCTACATTATACCTTAAATGTTTCAAGAAATATTTATTTTTCGAAATATTTCGTGAAACATTTCGCCAAGCATTTCTCGAAATACTTTCAGAAGCAAACTGAACCCTTTTCTTATGTTGCGACATATTATGTTGCAACAATATTTTCATGTTTTTTTTAATTTTCTCTAAAACGGTATGGAAATTTCGATAACTATAAACGGGATTAAACCATTTCAGGAAAAGCAAACATTTTTATGAAAAATGTATTTATCTCAAAATGTCAATAATAAAAAACTTTTTCCTCTTGTAGAATTCGGGGACATACTGTAGTATAAATCCTATCCTCTAATTTCAAAAACACTAATTACTTCTACTAATTTCGAGGATCTAAATACAATGAAAAAATATACCTAGAGAAATATTTTTACTTTTTTTAATTATCACGATTAAAATAATAATCAGAGTACCTATATAGGTCTAGATAGTCAAGATATGTAGATAAACCTAGAACATACAAAAGTGTGAAACACTTTGTGCGTAAATATTTTATTATTTACTCGACATACACGGAGCATGTTTATTTTCATGTTCAAGATGAGATAAGGCGATGTTTTACTTGGCTAAAGAAGGTACTGAACAAGGCTGATGTTATTACATACCTACCTCTATACGTTGGGAAAATTTTTAAACTAATTCAAGTTTTAATATTAGAATATGCCTTTTAAAAATTCATTCTAAATCAAATACAAAGCAAACAAAAAAGTGAAGTAGATTTTCATATTTTAAAACTTTGTTTCGTTTAATAAACATGTATCTTATACCTTTGTTATATTTTTTTATACAAACATTTTAAGTATCTACCTACTACAATTTTTCTGGAAAGTTTTCACAAATGATAACAATTTAGCAAAAAGTGTATGAGAAACCCATGTTTTAATTACTTGAACAATTATTACAACCGAATGACCGA